CCCCAAAACCCCAAAACCCCAAAACCCCAAAACCCCAATAAATTCACCCAAACCTGAGATTTTAAATAATTTTTATCTAGCAATGGGTAAGCGCTACTCTGTAATTTATGATGAGAGTTTAAAGGAGAAGGAGGGGTTAAGGGAAGGATTTGAGAGGGTTAGGGGTGAGTAGGGAGTGGGGAAGAGGGGGAAGAGGGGGAAGGGGGAGGAGGGGGATTTTTGTAAGGAATGTGGGTGGAGGTAGGATTTTGGGGGTTTGGTGGAGATTTTGGGTTTTTTGGGGTATATACCTGGATGGGGGAAATTTAGATATATTTATGATGAATTTTAGAGATTTTCTTTGTTCATATTTTAAAAGTTCTTTTCTTTATGAGCAAAGTGGATACAAATTAATAATATTTTTCTCAATTATCTCAAGATAAAATTTTCAAGAATTTTTAATATTCATATCTTTTCTTAGAGTAAGTCTTTAAAATAGCCTCCACAAAATCTAAAAGAACTTTTGAATAAAACTAGTTCCCCTCAAAAATCCTTCTTTCGTCTTCCAGGGTATAATCACAACATTTTATTTCTAAATTTTTATTAAAATTTAGCTAATAGTATTAGACTTTACAAGTTCTATTCTGACCTGACTTTAGGAAATAATTTCAAACTTTTATTTCAGGTGGTTTTGATAATCATTTTGTGATGTCAACCATCAAATTCAGAGATCATGGCGACATATCTGATGCATGGGTTAGGCTCTGGTGTTACTAGCATCAGTAGTAGTGAAGGATGGGCTGGACAACCAACATTGGACTTTCCATGTAATTTTATACTTTAATTTTATTAGCTAGTTCCTCTGATAGGCCTTCAAAAAGAAGCACTGGTGTGAAATTTGAAAAAGGAGAGTAAGCAACATAACCTGGCCTAACAATGTCTCTTATTGTTTAGATATCTGACCTTCTCCAGTCACTTCGATAACCAAGGAGCTGATTACATCACATTCAATGTCTGGATATACAGAAATGACAAAAAGATATAAGCGACTTTTTCCAAGTCGGTCATAACGTAAGTAATTATAAAGAGACTGAACTTTCTGATAATTATTGTGCGTAAGATCTAGTCTGATCGAAGGAATTCTAAAAATTGTGATAAAACAATCTTCTTATAGTTCGCAACTTCTGGATATCCTACAGGAATTGGAGAGATACAGGCTTTCCATACCACTGATGGAAAAGATGCCAAGCTCAAAGTAAATGGAGCAGAAGTAGGAGGTATTAAGGAAAAATTTGAGCGTAAGTGTCTTTTGAATATTTTTATCTTTTTGAAGTATGTTTAATTAATTTAAACCATAATTCTAAGAGCAGATTACAAAAACTGTAGCAAATATTATTCATTCTTTGGTTGCTTTCGAATACATCAACTAAGCAATCTTTTATTTGAATTTTCTAGTGTAAAATATTTCAAATCAAAGTAACATTTGAGAATAGATGATGAATGGATTTTAATTGGATTCGGGTGGGGTAAAGACAAAGGATACATGAAAACAATGTGTGAAGGAGGAGGGGGAGGAATGGGATGAGCAGAACACAAAAATAATGCTTCTCATGCTGTTTCTTCATGGACTACTCCAGGGTCTTACTATGTAGGGAATTTCAATGATAATTGTGAAAGTTCATGAGAATTCTATATTCACAGTATCAGAGTCTTCACATCTGAACTACCAGGCATCGAAGAAGACCTCGAAGGCGCAGTCTACAATGGTAAGTTCCCTTCTAACCTTTAGAATGGTATTCTGACTGAGGAGATGGTGAAAGAGACTCAGGAGAAAATTGTGATGATGGCAACTGGGAAAATGGAGATGGCTGTGATAAAGAGTGAGATGTAGAAAATGGATGGGAGTGATCAGGAGGGAATAGTTCGTCACCTGATACTTGAGAATTTATTTGTCAAGCAAATTCAAGCCCTGGAGATGAGACTGTAGATTGATATGACGGCAATTCCAGTAGTGGAGATGGATGCAGCTCTGCATGTAAAGTAGAGAGTGGGTATAGTTGTAGCTGGAATGGAGGGAGTCAGGAAAGTGAATGTACTGATAAGTGAGGGGATGGTAAAACAATTACCTCAATGGGAGGAACTTACTGCGATGATGGGGATAACACATCTGGAGATGGTTGAAGTAGCACTTGAAGCATTGAGAGTGGATGGATATGATCTGGAGGAGATACCTCTAACCCAGACACGTGTTCTGATGACTGTGGAGATGGCAAAGTCATGGATGTGCAAACTGGCTATTGAGATGATGACAATAATATTCCTGGAGATGGTTGAGACGCTTCTTGACAAGTTGAAACTTATTGGGAATGAACTCCTGGAAGTTCTTCGACTGAGAGCCAATGATCAGACATCTGTGGAGATGGCAGGAATATGGAGCCTTCAGCCACTTACTGAGATGACGGTGATAAAGTCTCAGGCGACGGTTGTAATTCAGCATGATCTGTTGAGACTGGGTGGAAGTGATCTGGAGGAGATGCCTCCAATCCAGACACTTGCTCTGATGACTGTGGAGATGGAGTTGTTGTAGCTCCAATATCAACATATTGAGATGATGGCAACACAGATTCGAATGATGGGTGAAGCTCAACATGTCAACCAGAATCTGGGTGGACTTGCACTTTAGGAGACTCTTCAACAGCAAGTTCTTGCACCGACACTTGCGGAGATGGCAAAGTTATGGACCCCACAGCAAATTATTGAGACGATGGGAGCAAAGTAGATGGAGATGGATGTAGTTCAGCTTGAGCAGTTGAGGCTGGTTGGAGCTGAACTCTAGGTGATTCAACAACTGCTTCAGTCTGTAGTGATGATTGTGGAGATGGAAAAGTTATGGTTCCCACATCAGGTTATTGAGATGATGGTGACAAAACAGGTGGTGATGGATGAAGTGCTTCTTGAGGAGTCGAATCTGGATGGGAATGTACACTCGGAGACTCTTCAACACCAAGCTCTTGCTCTGAAATTTGTGGAGATGGCAAGGTTATGGACCCCACAGCAAATTATTGAGATGATGGAAGCAAAGTAGATGGAGATGGATGCAGCTCAGCCTGAGCAGTCGAAACAGGTTGGAAATGAACTCTGGGTGATTCATCAACTGCTTCAGTTTGCAATGACGACTGCGGTGATGGGAAGGTTGTCCAGACAAGCTCTAATTACTGAGACGATGGAGATAAAGATGACAATGATGGCTGAAATTCAACCTGTCAGATAGAATCTGGCTGGGAATGCACAACTGGAGATTCATCCACAGCCAGTGTGTGATCTGATGAATGAGGAGATGGAAAAGTCATGGATCCACAATCTGGGTACTGAGATGACGGCAATAAAAGTGATGGAGATGGCTGAAGTTCGACCTGAGCCGTTGAGCCAGATTGGACTTGATCTCTAGGAGGTACTTCTTCAGCTTCAAGTTGATATGACACATGTGGTGATGGAAAAGTTGTGCAAACTGGAGCTAATTATTGTGATGATGGAGATAAAGATAATGGCGATGGATGAAGCAGTAATTGTCAGATAGAATCTGGATGGGAATGCACCACTGGTGATGCAACTACAGCGAGCCAATGAACAGAGACATGAGGAGATGGAACTGTGATCAATCCTACATCTGGGTACTGAGATGATGGGAACAAAAACAATGGAGATGGCTGTGATTCCTCATGAGCAGAAGAATCAGGTTGGAATTGAACACTTGGAGACTCTACAACCCAATCTTCATGCACAGATAGCTGCGGTAATGGAGCTGTGATGAATCCTACTGCAGGATATTGAGATGATGGAGGAAAATCAGATGGGGATGGATGCAGCTCAGCATGCTCGGTCGAGTCTGGTTGGGTCTGAACTCTAGGAGACTCTTCTACTCCTAGTGTTTGTGCTGATGATTGTGGGGATGGTAAAGTCATGCTCTCATCATCAACTTATTGAGATGACGGGGATAAAAATGATGGAGACGGGTGCAGTTCATCCTGAAATATTGAGACAGGATGGATTTGAACTTTAGGAGATCAAACTACTGCAAGTGTATGATCTGATAAATGAGGAGATGGAATTGTTGTTGATCCTAAAAATGGATATTGAGATGATGGAAATAATGTTGATGATGATGGTTGAAATTCTACTTGCCAAGTAGAAGCAAATGCAAACTGCACTTTAGGAGACTCAACTAGTGCCAGTATATGAACTGATATTTGAGGTGATGGATTTATAAGTATAGAAAATTTAGCATCTTCATATTGTGATGATGGTAACACAGATGATGGGGATGGATGCTCAAGTTCATGTTCTGTAGAAGATAAGTATATTTGTGAAGGAGGTAGCTCAACTTCAAAATCAGTATGTCAAACCTGTTCAGTAGAGAATTGATCTGAATGATTATCAGATGATATTAATAAATGTAAAGTCTGTAATGACGGATATGAAGTTAATAATGACAAATGCTCAAAACCATCTGCTGCATTATCTTCATCAGCCACTGCTGCTTCACAAGCTGCAGTAGGAGGAGTTGCGGCAGCTGCAGCTATAAATTCAGTTCTTAATATGTCATCACCAACTGTAATGTGGGCAATGGCAAATCAGTTGCAATTACTTCTATTGCTAGTCCTGACCAAAAGTTCAATGCCAGATGAAATCGTTCAGTTCTTGACAGGAAATAGATTTGCTTCTTTTTCATTTGATTTTTTGCATCTAGAAAGTTTACCAGGAATTGGTATACCCAAACGTTGGTTCCTCAAGGACCAAGAAATATCAAGTCTCACTGAGATTGGAATTGAGTCAGGAAGCACGTTTTATAACAACTTCGCTCTCCTTCTAATGCTGTTCTTTCTCCTTCCGATTCACTTGGGAGTGATTTTCCTTCCAAAATGTAGAAAAATGCCATATTCTGAAACTAGGTGGAAATCCATTCTTGGTAAATTTTACACAAAGGCTAGAGAAGCCTTATATGAATTATTCCATTTTTCCATCTACATCAGGCTAATCCTTGAGGCTTATCAGTTTATCATGCTAGCTTGAGTTGCAGAAATATATCAGATGAGGTACAGAGAGTATGCTTCATTCTCAATTTCCTGTGTTGCCTTACTACTCTGAATTTTTTTCCTCTGTTTGTCCTACTTTATGTACTCAAGCACAAAGAAGTTTTATGATGATGAGCAGCATTACCACTGTAAAGAGTTAGTCAGAGGGCTCAAGGATAACAAAGAAGCAAGGATATACACATTCTTCCTACTCCTTAGACGTTTTATATTGGTAGCATGGCTCATAGGGATGTGAGAATCAAACAAATACTTTCTTATAGTGTTCCTTTCAGGTTTCCAGCTGTTTTATTTGGGGAGGATTCTCTACTCAAGACCTTTACAACATGTTTGTGATAATTTGGTGGAAATTACAAATGAGATATTCTTCACAGTCTTGGCATTAATTTTAGTGTATTTGAACACTGAAGATAAATGGAAGGGCTCAAATACCAGCATATATATGTATATTTTAATATCGAATAATTTTGTGATTGTATCCATCATGTTCGGTAAGTTATAACATTATTTTTAGGAAATCTAATGAGAAATATCTTTGTAAAATGCAAGGCAAAGTGCTCAAAGAACTCTAAAACTGCTCCAAAAGCTCCTCAACCTCAAGTAACCCCCTACATAACCCCTAAAGCCTCCTATTATACTCGCCCGACCAAGCACCACATCCAAAATCTATACAAAATCCGACCTTTCAGGTGCCACAAAACTATCCACAAACCAACTGGCCGAACAATCCCAAAACAATAGTAAGACCCCTCCCTCACATCTCCACAGTTATCATCAAGAAAATTCCCAGAAAAACAGACTAAAATCCCTAAAACCCCCAAAATTCATACTAACATTTAAACTCAATATCCATTCTGTCTCAGCCAAGCTTGGGGTTTTGGGGTTTTGGGGTTTTGGGGTTTTGGGG